AATAACAACATGCAAAAAGGTTTCATTTTTAAAACATGATACTAGGCAAACAGAGCATTGCTCTCACAGCAAAGAGAAAGGAGACAAAGCAACATAAAAACAGGCTGTGTACCTTAATCAATGGTGCTTCCATACATGCTTCCTTCAGGTTTTTGAAGATGATAGCAAAACCAAAAAAAATGTGAGGCACTTTCAAGAGGAAAAACCAAACTCCACAGCACCAAACACTTTTTGTACTTAAAAGTAAAGCTAAGAAAAGGATGTTGGTCTAGCAATGGAGCAGAAGACGGATGACCAAGCAACAAGCACTGGGCAGATGCAGCAGAAGCCCCAGCGGCTCCAGGCCTGCAGAACTTCTGCCCGCCCTGGGAGCAGCAGCAGAGATGGCAGTGGGGCAGCACTGTCCGTGGAGGATGGGAACAAGCTGGGGCAGCAGTGGGGAGCTGGTAGCCAGGCAGGGGCTGGGGACAGAAGGGCAGCAGGGCGGGAATGTCAGCCAGGAAGAGGGACAGGGAGCCTGCAAGGCACGCAGCAAACACCTGACCCTGTCCTCAGCGAGGGACGCAAACCCTTCCATTGTCCATTGTGCCCAGCAACGTTGCAGAGATGCTCCAGTGCGGAGTGAGGACAGGCTGGAAGGCACATGGAGAAGTGAAGGCTCAGGTTGTTCTTGCTGTAATTCACCACTCCCAGAGCACAAGCAGGACACAACAAAGCCCGAGTCAGCGCATGGTGTAAGGACAGGCAATGCATGGGGAAGGTCTGGGAGCATTCAGATGTTGGGATGTATTTGTGGACCCTCCTTGAAGGATGGGCACCATCTGTGTGCCCACACAGGGTCCCCAGGGATGAACACCAGCTCTACTAACTTGAAGAACCTTTAAAGCATCGAGGGGAGGAGAAGAGGTTAGACACCTCACCTGGACAGACCAAAAAGACCCCAACATGTCTCTTCCCCCTCAAAAAAATTGCTGTTGGCATCATCAGCAGAAGAGGCCACAGCATAACCCTGAGCTTGCTGCAGTCATGTACCTGTCACCTGCTGCAGCCTCGTGGACTGATGTTTCTCTTTTCTCTCCTTCCAACAGCATGGAATGGGCATCCCTTCCATTTCCATTATGCTTCATGAGCTGATCAAACTGCTGCACCATGCAAAATGCCGGGACGTTACTATTATACGCATCGGTACTTCTGGGGGCTTAGGTAAGCAATTCATGGTCTTTCTTCAGAGCAAAACAGCTATTATTAAAAAGAACTCTCAGCAATAGGTCATGCAGCTCTGAACTTTAGCATTTTTCCAAGTCTCTAAATATCCATCACGGTATTTTGTTTTGGGTCAAACCCAGAGAACTTGTAGCGACTGGTTTGGCAGAGTGCACATCCTCAGAGTGCACAAAGGCCTTGATTCCACTACAGCCATGTGTCACTTTCCAAACAGAAAACATGGATTAGAAGTGACCCAAATGAATCCGTGTCTCCTGGCTGAGGCAGTGGTGCTGCCCATCCCTGCACAAGCTGGTAGGGGCTACAGAATCTCTGCAAGCCAGAAGCAGCTAAACTGTCACTCAGCACATTATCACAATCACTTACCTGGTGCTGATTCTGTACATTTTACTTGTACACCCGTGCTACTTCATGAATTTCAATTATTCTCTGACATCTTTACTCACTGAAAAGAAGAGCCCTGCAAGCACACACAGATCTATTGAGATTTTCCTGTTGTGCTGAGGTTTGGCAGCAGGACACAGGGGTTGTGAGCTCTGCCAAGCTCAGCTTCCATTTGCACAGGGATCGAGGCTGGCTCTGTTGTGATCACCGACACGGCCGTGGACTCCTCCTTCCGGCCACGCTTTGAGCAGGTGGTGCTGGGCGATGTGGTGGTGCGGAGCACCGAGCTGGACAAGGACCTTGCGGAGGAGCTGCTCGCCTGCAGCAGGGACATTCCTGACTTCCCCACGCTCATTGGCCACACCATGTGCACCTACGACTTCTACGAAGGTAAAACCAGCTTCGTCTGTCCCTCCTCACCATACATAATGCCAAGTCTTTCCACTCTTCCATGGACAAAGCTGCACAGGGAACCCAGGCCCCAGAAGGGCTGCAGGCAGAGACCCACGTGGTGCTGGGGGGCCCAGGCAGAGCAGGAGGCACCCTCACAACACACGGTACCGCTGCTTGCACCTTGCTGAGTTTGCCACAAGCTGCTCCCCTGCAGCAAGACTGTCACTACAGAACTACCAAACACTAGGAAAACATTAGGTTGTCTGTGAGATTTCCATAAACAAACTTTGGTTACTCTGGAACCATTTCCTTTGCAAAATTAAATGCTGATTGCAGAGTAGATGAAACATAATAAATGAAGAATTAATAATCTGAGCACTATTTATAAACCTTTAGATCTGCTTGCAGATGCAGCCATCTGTGTATTGCTCAAGTCCATCTTTTATTTAAACAAAAAGCCATTTGAGAGGATTAAAGTAGGAGCAGCAATAAACTGAAGGGCGGCCCAGGCTGGCCAGCCACAGGTAAGCATTTGCCTGCCCCAGGGCCTTCAGACAGTGTGAGAGGAGGAGCTGCATGGGGCACAGGTGTGCTCTGAGCACACAGCAGGACAGCCAGAGCCCCCGCAGGGGTCAGAGGAGAGGGTCGGGACGGCTGCCCTCGCTGAACAGTGTTGGTCCTGCCTGCAGCGGTACCTGGAGCTGCAGTAGGGCAGCACCAGTGCCCTGGCACCAGCTCCCTGACCACACCGGTGCTGCCTGCACCAGGAATGCCTCTGCAAGCAGCTCCAGCTTCCATCCACAGCAGCCCCTGCAGAAAAACTAAACCCACATTAAAGGGGTTTCCTCTCCTCAGCGTTCCCATTCTGCACAGCTTGTTGCACCTCTTCTGCAGCCAGTTGGCATTTTTGGGGTTTAACCTGGTAGACCTTCACAGCAGATATGCAGCAATGGCCTGTCCCCACAGAGCACAGCATTTGCTGGTTCCTCCCACCCGAGGGCTGACTCCACCTTTTATCAATGTTGAAACCTGCGTCATTCTTTCCCCTACACAGAGACACATCTCGCTGGCTTTAACACTGAGGGGAATACGAATTACCCAGCTGCTCACAGGAAAACTTTGTGTGCCTCAGATAGAATGTGGGCACTGCTGGACTTGCCATTTGCAACTGTGCTCTATGACGCCATTCAAGGCCAACAGTGACAGTTCTCTGCTTCCTTTCCAGGTCAGGGAAGATTAGATGGTGCATTATGCTCTTTTTCCAGTGAAAAAAAGTTGGAGTACTTACGGAGGGCTTATGAGGCCGGTGTGAGGAATATTGAGATGGAGTCCAGTGCATTCGCTGCCCTGTGTAGACTGTGTGGCCTCAAAGGTGAGTCTTGTCGCTTCCACCTCCTCCCCACACCCGGACTAAACCCCCTCCAAGGATCCTGTTCTGTGTCAGAGGGCCAAACACATCCTTAATGATTTTATCTAGAAAAGAACACTAAAGCAAATTTCATAGTTCAGTAAAACCCAAGTGCGCATTAGGAGACCTGAGTGCGTGCTGGACAAACCACCAGCTCGCTCCCTTCACGCCCCTCCTGGCCCCGTCCCGGCCGTGCTGCCGCCGCCCCTGAGGGTCTGGGGGCAGCGGAGCCGCGGCTCCCGGCTCCGGGCCTGAGGGCCGGGCACGAGGGGCCGTGAGGGGCCGTGAGGGCCCGGCGGGGCCGAGCCGGGCCGGGAGCTGACCGCGCTCCGTCCCCCCGCAGCCGCCGTCGTGTGCGTGACCCTCCTGGACCGGCTGGAGGGGGACCAGATCCGGGCGTCCCACGAGGTGCTGTGGGAGTACCAGCAGCGGCCGCAGCGCCTGATCGCCGCCTTCATCCGCAAGCGCCTGGGGCTCACCCGCAGGGACTGAGGCGGCGGCGGCAGCACGGGGCCCGGCCCGGCCCACGGAGCCCGCTCCGGAACGGCAGAGCCGCGGGCCCGGGTGCCCGGAGCCCCCGGACACCGCGGTGCGGCCGGGACCGCCCTGACGCCGCCCTGACACCGTCTGCACTGGCAGCAAGCTCAGGCTGTGGAACAGAGCTGCAGACTCCTCACTCCTGCCTCCAGCCGCCCTAAAGGACTGTCCTGCTAGGGTCACTCCTGTCCGCAGCGATCTTCCCGGAAGGAGTAAAGACAAAACGCAACTAAATAACATGAAAATTAATCCGTATTTGTGACCAGCCAAGGGGTCTGCAGAGCTCTCCTGGCATGAGCAGCTGTGTGAAACACCCTTTAACTGCCCTTCATGTTCTCCATGCTCCACTATTTTGTGAACCCCCCCCAAAGAATCCTCCTTCTGGCCTCACTGTTGCACTGAGTCTCTACCCTGAGACATTATAGACGTGAAAACAACCACAAGTCTCAGCCTAAAAATCTGTGCTCACTATTTCAAAACCAATATCTCTTCCCTTTAAACTTTCTTTTTCATTAACATCTTGGTATTTATAAAATACGATAACTATAATCTCAAATTCAGTGGTGCAATTTTTTTTATCTTGTACATCGGCTTTAAAAGGCGAGGGAAAAAAAAATCAACTGCCTAGGTTTGGGATGATGCCTTTCTGGGAATTGTCTCACAGCCAGTTTGTTCCCCACAGCAGAGCACTGCTGGTCTCCCCACAGGAATATCCAGGGAATATCCCCACAGGAATAGCCGGCTGTGAGGAATAGCCGGCTGTATTTTTAAAAGTGTGTTTTAAAAATAATGAGTGACCCCAAAGGAGATACCAAAATAAAAAGCACAAATATTCACAGAATTGTAATTTTAGTACAAGCACACCAAGGCTCAGTCCAGAAGACATCACTGCCCCAGCTCAGGGCAGGCTCTGCAGCATTTCCCCACTAAACTCAGCTGCAACACTGGGATTATGCTGCTTCTGGGCGGACCCTGTGCTCACTCTCAGGAGTATGTCACACCAGAAAATAAAGAAATAAAGATCCCAGCTCTATTTATAATTTATATGAAAAACTAAACTACAATATGAAATTGAATGAATGGTTTGCAGTAAATATGATGCAGCAAGTTGCCTTCTAAATATAGACAAAGGTTTATGTTTCATCTTATCATAATCAAGGCACATTAGAAACATTCATGGCAATGAAGATTTTATAACTAAAAAAATCAAATTCTCAAGAAACCTGGAAAGAAAATTGTGGGATTTATTCATGTAACATAATAAAATCTAAAGTAACTGCTGTGCTAAGCTATTTTGGACTTCTGCTGCCAATTAAATCCCAGTAATTCCTAGTCAAGATGCTGCACATCAGATTGGCCTGGGCTGTGCGCAGGAGTCCTTGAGCACGGTGTCCCCGCTCGCAGCCAGAGGGACACGGGCAATGCCATGAGCAGCACGCAGCCCGGCCTCTCCAGACCCACAGCGGGCAGGTGTAACGTGGTGCTCCCAGCTCACAAGGGCTGCGAGTGCTTGAGAATGGCTGCATGGTCATGAGCAGTTCTAGGACAGCCAAAGGGAATTGACGGTTTGCGTATCGTGGGCCAGACCAGAGCCCTGGTGCTGCTCTGCCCCTCTCGTGAGACGTGCTCTACATTTTAAAAGCTGTAGATTCCGTGTCTCTTCTTGGAAGCTTCGGTGGTGGAAGCTTTGACAAAACCTCTCTCGCATAAAGTGTTTTATGCAGTCCAGCTTCTCGGAGAGCGAGCTCGACACGGAGCCTGGGGTCAGAAATGACCTGTTAAAAAAACCACAGCAATGATCAATAGAAGCCAAAAAGCTCCCTGAGGAGCTGCTGCCTTTCCCCGTGTTCTCCATGCACACAGCCCCAAGTGCAGCACAGACTCCAATCTCCTCCTGGCTGTTCCTGCAGAACCCAAGTGCTTTAAATGCCTTTATGATTTTTCTCACAGTGTCACCTTGTGCTTACATGGCAGTGCCACTTCCATTTGTCAGAACAGCAATTAATCTGAGGGAAATTACTTCTGGAATTTGTCAGAAGTTTGTCTGACAAAATCTGTAAGCCTCTTTCCAATTCCTGTTGCATGGTGTTCAGTGGGACTGCACTGGAAGTACAAGGAAAAGCGACACATTGGTTCCAGTTCCAGCATCACCTCCCCAGTGCCCAGAGCTGCTGACACCAGCGCTGGGAACATCATCCACAGCCCCTGCAGCACAGGAAGGAGCACGGGGATGTGCTGGGTGGGCATCACATACTGCAGCCCAAGCAGCACCAAACCTGTCTGGAGTTGAAACAGAGACAGCATGCTGAGAATTAACACATAGGATCCAAATATACATGTTCAAAGCATCTTTAAGTTTTGTCAGAACCTTGTACATGGGTCAGATTTGGGGAATTTTAATAACCAAGCAAAACCCACATCTTTCCATTACCAAACTGAAAAGCTTTAAAATGTCTTAAAATGGGCAGTGCTGGATAACTGTAGCTGTAGACAATGTTGAATTTCATCTTATTCAGTGTCAAAAGAGAGCTTTTACACCACAGAATTGTACCATAGCTCTTCTCTTTTCATAAATAATTTTGAAATTCCAGAGTGGGAATAATTGCAAATACATCAACTGAGCAGATAGGGAACAGCGAGGGAATTTAAAGATATCAGGATGTTCCTTGAGTTCATTTGAAATTGAGGGAGCAGCCTCCTCAGCAACCTGAGTGCCCTGAAACACGAGTACAGCCAGTTCAGTTCCCGATCATTGACCCAGCACGACTGCAGCCCCTTACCTGCTCCTCGCTGTAGGTGTGCAGCCTGAACAGGGGCTGCTGCAGCTCAACCTCCTCGTTGGCTCCAATGCCCATCCGGGCTTTTGACGCCACCGTGTCAGCCACTGCTCTGGCAGGATCTAATTCTGCAACAACGGCAACCTAAGGACACGGCATGAAAGTCACAATGACTCTGTCGGTGTGGAGCTAAGGCGAGAGCAGGTCACTGTCAGGAGCACACCCTCTGAGAGCACCATCAGTCACTGTCTCTGCAGTGACCCTGCAACAGCGGCACAGAGCAAGGGTGTGCGAGGGAGAAGCGCAATTCAATTTCAATTTCATATTGCAGATTCGTTTTTCAGTATAAATTATAAATTTATACTGACGCCCTGAGCTCTCCAACAGACACTGGCACGAGCTCCACTGTCCAACCCGGTCTCTACAAGGATCCAGCAGCCTCAAAATTCTGCAATACCCACAATTCCAGACTTTCTTCTCTTTCTTTCGATGCGAACAAAGGTGTTCAGGGTGATAAGTCACAATTTTACAGAGTCATGGGCAGCAGCATTGAGTTATATTCTCCAAATAATACAACTCTGTTTTTTTCTGAAGTGCATCTGCTTTAACTGTGTAATTTCCTGTGGCTAGATCAATATCAAAGACTCCCAGACACTGTATTGTGCCAGAGTTAATATTTTTCATTGCTTACTTTCTTTGTGTTAAAATATTCAGATACAGGCTAATACTACTTTGGAAATACAGAAAGATGTGTGAGCAAAATATCTTAAGTCAGAAGTCCATATGAAGAATGGCTAAAACCAGAAAAAAATACTTTAAATTGTGTAGGATAATTTTTTCGTCCATCTCTCTAATAAAATATCACCTCTGTATTAACAGGCTGCCCAAATCTAGAAGCCAAATGACTTTAGTAAAGATCTTTCCCCCCCTCCCCATACAAACATTGTACATACTTTATGAAGCAGCATTTCATTAGTGTGAAACAAAGAATAGATGTTGATCAGAGAAGTATAATGAAGTGGGAACATCAACATCCGGGCAAAGGCCCCTCTAGAAGCATTTTCTACTCTGGGAGGAGAATTGATTTAGTGGGAAGAGCTCAACAGATCATGACTACCAACCAGCCTCTTTGGAGGAAAAAACAAGGAGATTACACACAAAAATGTAAATTAAGACAAAATTACTCTTTCAAAAGTCAGCAGTATAAAAAAAACCCTAGCACTACTTCTACTACGATATTAGAAGCATTAGTAAGCCTTTTATGGGTGTCTTTTTAAAAGTAATGTGCAAAAGTTTCAGAGACTCAAATATCTCTGAAGAAAAGTCATCCAAGGTGTGCAAGTTTCCAGAATTTAAAAAGAATATAAATTACTCATAAATCTTGCCTTAGACTCAAGGCAGACTTAAGGTTATTAAAACAAACAAAACCCAGAAAAAATCACAGAAGAAAAATCACATCCAACCTGTAAAAAACGGTCTCTATCTCCTCTCAGATATCAGCAGCTCCTACGGTACAGTTTAATGTCATAACGTTCCTGTTGTCAGAGCTACAAAGGACGCAGGATTTATAAGAGGGGAGAATTGCTGTCGGTGAGCCCCAAGTGCCTTTTACCTCGCTCCCTTATCTGCTTGTGAGAGACTGTTCTGTTATCCCTGCACCGGGGCCTGCCCACCTGCTGCCGGAGCGCTTCCAGGCGCCGCTCCTTGCGCTGCCGCTGCCGGGCCTGGAGCAGGGCCTGCTCCTTCCTGTGCAGCAGCCGCCTCTGCAGCAGGGCCCGTCGGAACCGCACCCTGCGGGCACAGGGAAACGCTGCCAGGGGCACCGCCGCCTTCCGCGCTGCCCTGCAGCTCCAGCCGGCCTGCCGCAGCTGCTGCGGACACGCCTGGCGAGGCCGCGCTGCCCATCGCAGCGCCTCAGAAACACAAGGGTGCTTTTCACTCCAGTGCGTCCTTTGTCGGAGTTCTTTGGTTTGGGTTCTTTGGGCAAGGGGAGTCTGGGGGGTTGCGCTTTTTCATTTGTTTCTCGGTGGGTTTTGGCTGGTCAGTTGTTCTTTTAAACAACTTGGCTAACCTTTCAGATTCCATGTCTAGACCGCAGATTTTCTCTAGCATGCTTTATATAGCCCTGGTACTCTTTTTTCTCCCCCATTTTCTTTGCCAAGAAGAAATGTTCTCTCACATCTGTGTATGGCAGAAGAAATCTTTCCTATAACCCTTTCCATTAAAAGAAACACCTCACTCCCAGTCTTGTCCCTGGAGAAAGGAAAAAATACTTGAGACTTGCACCCTTCTTTCAAAGGAAAAAGCTGAAGGTTCACATCAGTAACTCCAGAACTTTACCCACAGCACTACTGTGCTGCTCCAACCTTCACTGCAGGCATTTTTAGACTATTGTGCAGAGTCTGTTCCTCATGTGAGCTATAGATATTTGTTGGGATGTCACTTTTAGTCCTTCTGCAGGAGGTGCCAATGCCATGTTTTGAATTTGGAGAATTACCCTCCTTTTGCCCTTCAAATTTGAACTTGCCTTTAGAGAAATTGAGACAAGACAGCTGCTTCAACTACAATAAAACATGTATTGTTATTTTTTAGTCTCCAAATTTTAGTAAGCTCAAAGGAGTATAAAACTTGTACTATAAACTGCAACAATCAGAACTAAACCTATAGTTCTGCTGGTGGCTAGTGAAGACCTCTGTGTCAATAACCCAATCACAATTAGCAGGACAAACAGATTTATCCCAAGAGTGTGGTACAAGGCTGCCTGAGGGTACCCCAGAGAGGTTTCCAGTTTCTCACAGTGTCCAGTGTAGTTTAGGCAGAGAAATGCCACATCAGCAGTGCTCAGTGGTCATTCTGTGCCAGGGAAAAAGCCTAATCTGCTTTTTATATGGAGAACATTTAATAAAAAGCAGAACATTTAATAAAAAGCATTTTTTTTGAAAAATGACAAAAATTATACTGAAATTCTCTCACTCTGCTTGAGCTGACTATTGTGATACATGTTTTAAAATACTCCAGAGTTATCAAACATAAAATTCAATACTCTGGAAGCTTCTGCGCCAAGCCAGGAAGGAAGACTGGGGAGCACTTGGCCAGGCCTAAGGTCAAACACTGTGTGTGCCCCTGGCAGGTTTCCTGCCCAGGGGAATACAAAGCAGTGCTAAACTGAAGCATCCTGGGGCCTTTCTGTGCCCCGTTTGAACCAGTGCGGGTGATCCCGACTGACTGCAGCCAGGGAGCAGCCAGGGAGCAGGGCAGAGCCGGGCACTGTGAGGCTCCTGGTCCGAGGCTGTGCTGCCATCCTCCACAGGCTGAGAGAGCACAGCCAGCAGTACCAGAGATGGAGTTCATTGCCAGCAGGCAACGGCACAGCAATGAAATCCACACCAGGGAAGGCAGACACCTTGGAAATACATCCTCAACTGTGCATCGTGTTCCTACGTTGGAACATCCTTCCAATTCTTATACTTGGCTTTTATACTTGGTCTGAAACCAAGCGCCTTTCATCCCTTACTTTGACCTGGTCAGAGCCCAGGCTATTGCAATTACAAACTAAGAGCTGAATAAACAGAAAACCGTAGTGACTCTGTGATAATAGGTTTCTTTTTCATAAACAAACCAAATTAGTTAATTTTAAATTAATTTAGTTTGATTAAAAGCAATTCAGGATAATAGCAGAGTTTTAAAAAATATTTTATTGTATTAGAAACTCTCTGTGCTATCCAGGCCATCTCCTGTACTTGGAGTAGTCAGTCAGCCCATTTTTTCCTTTTCCAAAGGACCCTGAAAATGCGTTGGATCAGAACTGCGCTAGCAGCCCGTGCCATGTTTGATGAGTGTTGTGCAAAGACTCAGACCCAGTTTCTGTGCTCTGGCGGGTGGCACATGCCAGCACACCGTCAGTTTTGCAGTGCTGCACGGGACATGACAATGCCACATGGGCACCTGAGCTGGCACAGTGAAATGTCTCACTTTGTACAGCAGGTCAGCTCTGAGTGACAGAATGCACAACATTTACTGACTTCTCATTCACAGTAGCCTGAAGGGGTGATTATTTCCTCCCAGTAATTCAAATACATGTGTTCCTTCTCCTGTGAGCTAAAACCAGTGCAGGCATGTTTAAGGAAAGGTACAGATATATTTGTAGCATAAGGACACAGACATTTAAATTAAATTGTAGAAAGGTGTCCTAACAAAGTAATACTCAAGTATTGTTTCCCACAGAATCCTTACAACCAAATTTAATATTCTAATGCCAGTGGCACTTTAATCCTATTTTAATTGCACTTCTGGTCCACACAACTTGGTGGCTTCCTCTATGTAAAAAGAGTCAGCCTATGCTTTTATAAGAGCAGTTATAACCAGACTACACGAAGGAGTTTTTATGTTGCTCTGACAGAGGGATTCCTCTGTGAAATCCAGTATTTCTTCAACAGGCTGTGAAAGGTCACATTGTGCAACAAAGACTTGGCAATTCAAGCCTGAGCTGGCTCAAGTCCTAAATCCCATCAAACAGGTGAAGAGCATCTACAACCAGATGAGCAATTTAGGACTCCCTAAGATAACAATAAATATCTTTGAGTTTGTTAATATGTTCCTTGCATTTGCCCCTCTAACAAACCAAACCTGATTATAAATCATTATTCAAAGTGAAATATAGAAGGTCTTATTACTCAGCTACATTTCATGACAGTTTAGTGCTTACAATGGTCTGAAATTTTGATGGATGTTAATTAATTAATTCAAACTGAAACAAATTGCATCTAGGATACAGTCACCTAGGATGCAACCTTACTAGATGGTTTGAAGCATTTGCCAAACAGGAAGGAAAAAAATATATTATCCTCAATTTATTCTAAAAATGAAAGTCAGGAGATCAAAGCAAATTAGATTATAAAAAGATCCTATTGATACTAAAGGTATTTACATTTAATTTCTTTTACCTTTCTCTGTCTTTGGCTGCTTGTTCAGCCATTAATTTTCTCAATTCCTCCAGTTGTTGTAGATCTCTCTCCTCCTGTTCTTGCCACTTGAGCTCTTTCTCAGCCCAGTATTTTTTCAGCTAGAGTTTGACAAAATACAGCAAACAAAATAACACTCATTCCAAAGCCCAGACAGTGAGAACAAAGCAAGAGAAGCATTAAGTTAGAGATTCCAATTTTGATCCTTTTAGAATAAAATTTCTATTTTAGAGCACTACAAGATAACAGAATACTTACTAGGAGAGCAGTAGGGTGTGGAGCTCCCACAACAAAAGAAGTAAAATCAAACTCTGAACACTAATTTGAATATATTTTGCCACCACAATTTGAAGACCACCACTTCCATCCTGCTTGCATTCCCCAGAAAAGCAGCTGCAGTATAAGGTTATCAGCCTTTTTAAGGATCTAGGATGTAAAATACTCCAATGAAGCATATGACTGCTGACCCCAAACAGCTGCTATTCCATCTGTGCATAGGCAGAGGGCTGCTCTCTCTAGACGTTACACATAGCTAGAGAAAAGTTTGCACAACCAGAATATTTACAGATAAAATGACTATCGGTGGTGGTTGGGTCAGCACTGGCTCCCTAAAGCTCTTCCTTCCATGTGTACAAAGGCAAATACACAGAACGAGCTGGAGCAGAAAGAGGAGCAGCAGCAAAGCTACAGGTGACCTAAGCAGCAGCCCCCACTAAATGTCCCTCTCTGTGCCTCTGGACTCAGAGGTAAAAGCTCAGTGAAACAGCCACATGGATTTCTGCCATATCCCTTAGGTAAAAGGCCAACGCAAATGCTTGTGACACAGCTTGATTTTCTAAAGCATTACATTCACCAGAGTGCATTTCTGAGTTTCTGTTGGGCTGCATGCAAGGAGCAGTGCCCCAGGCGTGCCCTGCAGCTGTGCTGCGCTGCAGGCACGGTGCTGCCGGGCTCCCCTGCTGCATTGCAGCACACAGCTGCAGCACTGGGGCTCCCGGGGCCGCTCAAAGCACACACCTGTGCAGGCAGACTGCCGTGCCTCCGTGCTGCTCCTGTGACACTGCGACTTGTGAGAAATGCCACAGAGCAACATAACTGGTGTGCCAGACCAGGCAGCGTCAGAGCTGAAACGGACGGGAGAAAGACCTGACTAATCATTTGCCCATCTCTACATCAATGCACAATACTTTACAAGAATACATGTGCTATCAGACCAGCTATAGATTTTAGAAGCAATGGTACACATTAATATATACAAAAATGTATAAAAGTTTCTCATACTTTCTCTTTATCCTGAGCTCTACGGATGGTTTCCTGTTCTCTCTGCAGCCTTTCTCTCTCATCTTCCTTTTCTTTTCTTCTGGCAGCTACAGCAGCTTCTAGTTTAGCAGCTTCTTCCTGCTGTGCTTTCCACTGTAGAACCTGGAAGAAACAGTTGAAGAGACAGTCCTGCAGCAGACTGTGTAACACTGATCCTGCCAAGCTGAGACTGCAAAGGAAACTCATGTAATCCTCTTACAAAGTTGTATAATCTTATCAGCAACACAACCATTTAGCAAGCACTACCTTTCTGCATGTTCATGTGCAGCTCACAACTGATAGCATAATATCTGTGTGTGCAGATTATTAATTCTTCTGGTTTGTGCTTATAAAAGATGTTCTGTTTAGAAATCCAGCACTCCACGTTGTCCAAGGTTCTCAGAGAGCTGCATCTCTGAACAATGCCATGCTTGCCATGCTTCTTGTTAAAATAACAATTATACTTTTTTCTTTGCAATACACTGAACAATGCTGTGGCTTCTCATGGAGTTCAGGCAAAGAGCCAGGCTCTTCCAGAGGTGCCCAGTGATGGGGGAAAACAACAGGCAGAGACTGAAACACCTGGAATTCCAACGCATCCATCACTTCCCTGCTGAGGGCTGGGTGAGCGCTAGAACACGCTGGCCAGGGGGGTTGTGGAGCTGTTTAACCTGGATTCCACGCAGTCACCAGCTGCACCTGACCCTGCTGGCAGGGGTGACCGGGGTCGGGACAGGTCCCTCAGCCTCTGCTGCAACACCCGGATCAGGCTGCCCACACACCTGAAACTTGTGACACCGGGGCTGTCCAAATTGAAATCTTCACGTAGCAATTTTGCCAGCAGCCTGCTCGTGCAGTTTAGCGGTTTAAAAATCTAAAATAAAATGCTAAATTGTCTCAGTTACCCTTCACTTGCCACGCTAATGAACTCAAAAAGAAATGCTTTGAAAATGAGTCAGAAGAACATGCAATCCTTTCTACCTTGCTTTTGAAACAGACTGAAGCAAAACCATATATAGAGAAAAGATTTAAAATCTGACAACAAGCAAACAGTGAGTGAAATCTGCAAAAAGCATACTCAGATTGGAGCTGGGATAAGCTGCAGGAGCATTTGAAGGAGCTTTAAACTTCTGTAATAACAGCACAGATTTTCTCAACTGATATGAGGTAACAGATTATGTAACAAAAAAATTGCTTTTTGTAAGCCTGGATTTCCCTACATCCTGCTTCCCAGTCCTTTCAAATGCTCTGCAATGCTGAGGTCAATGCCACCGGGTGCAGTTCATGATGCAGCCTCAGTTCCCCCCATGTCCGAGAACTCTCCTGATCCTCTAGAGGTCTTCCCTGGACACTCATTTATCAATTGTTTGGCTGTTGGATTGGTTTGATTGCAGCCATTAGCATGGCGAGGCCATAAACTCAACAGAAGCTGCATTTCCCGATGCTGCAGGGGAACCAGTGCCTGGAAATGCCCATGGAGGACAGAGCGAAGCCTGCAGGGAGCCTGGGACGATGGCAAATGGCTGAAGGAAGCAACCACGCTGCAGCAGTGAGCAGACACAGACACCAGTCTGCCCTGAGACCATCTCAGGCCTCCCCGTTGACCCATTCACTGACAGCGTGGTGCTGTGACACCCTGCCCTTGTGGGGTGCCACCTCCACCTTCTGGGGCTGCTCCCATGCAGATCGCTCCTTACAGCCTTTGATCGAGTCAGAAATCAACACTGGGGCACAATCTAGGCTTCTGACAGCTTATGTACAAACAAATGAGCACAACCAAGCACCAAATCAGAACTTCACTAGGCTGACACAGCATTAATCACACAGTAGTGTTCCCCAGGCAGAAGAGATGGGCCAGTAACTCAGTGTGTATCTCCGACCCTACAATGCTCCCTACTCTGCCCTAAATCACTACCAAAACATATATTTACTCAGGGGGTAGAACATGCTTTCCATTTTTCAAATTTCAATTCTGAATCTACTTTTTCATTTTTTAGTTAGGATTTCAAATGTATGAGCCTAAGGCCAATCAGAAAAATGGGTAACAAGGATACCAGAGGACAGTTTCACTGTACCATACTTGTTCACAATACCCAGTTATTATTTTCTGTATTCAGCGCATGAAATTAGTTTAGATTTATCCCTGCTCCCTCCGTGCCTTTTCGTTAGGGCAAAATAAGAATAATTTCCTTTAAAAATTTTTTAAAAAATTCATAATTGTGACAAAAAAGGACATAATTCCAACAAAGCCCCCCCCCAAAAAAACCAAACAAACCAACAAAAAAACCAACAAAACAAAACAAGGAACATTGGTAAAAACCAGAAAAGCAATACATGTCACATATTATACATATTTTGCATGTACTGCAAAAAAAATTAGCGCGTTCTTGATTGCATTCTTCCATCCCTATCAGTTCAAAATCACAAGGGTATATTTTACTGTGTCAACAGTAAATATTTTATTTAAATATTTAAAAATCCTAGTAGTTAAACTAATATTGAAAATACACTGAAACCTGGCTCTCCCATTGCCTGTTCCACAAAACTGTTTTCATTTTAGCAGTACAAGCACTGCCAACATTAGGTTCTGAAAGTTTTTAATTACAAATGGCATTTCAAGTACATTTCACAGTTCATGCATTATTAGAGGAGGTTTTGCCAAGTGAATTATTAAATTGCTGTGCTGAACAGAATGCATACACACCTTTTTTCAGTTCATTTTTTCAATATTGCATATTACAATAATGTAAAGTGCACTACAAACTAATTAAAGTAATAAATTAGTTCTTTCACTGTAACATCTGAATAGCAATAATGTATTTACCATTCACCTAATGTTACAGATACAACTCTTTTAAAGACAAAACAATGCAGAATACCACAGCACCACGGGAGGTTTCCTCTTGAAGCAGCAATGACCTTTTATAAACAGACCCAAGGGGTGGCATCAAGCTGCTCAGCCGGGTGCCAGGAGCACAGGGCAGCCGGCTGTGCTGGCAAAGGTCGAGCAGGGGCAGCCTCAGCTTTGGAAACAGAGGAAAACGTGCACGAGGAACCAAAAGGACGCAAAATCCTGGGAGGAACGGTGTCAGGAATGATTGTCCAGAACTCAGATCGCTCTGTGCCACACAGACATACTAAGCTTGTAGAATCCAAGTTCTAAGCAAAAGTTCCCAATAACTGTGTGATAAAGCCAGTACTGTTTGGCATAAGTGAAGGCATAAAAGGAAATCCTCTGAGATCCCACTCTGATGTTTTCTAGCTCACTTTTTAAACCACATAAAATCACACAATCTAAATAATCTTCTAGTATCTCACAGAATTTAATTAATCTCTGAATCGCTTCTGTTCATCTCTCCTTATTTATACTATGGTTTGCAGTTTTCGTTTTCTTCTTCAAATGGTTCACAACCGATTCTAAGAATCCCTGGGAAAATAATTAGGGGGTCTCTTCGGGAAAAATAACTTCACAAGTGAAGATTCTACATGGTAGAAGAAACCACAAAAAAGAAGAACCACAGTATTCGGCTAGCCATGGAAGCCCACAGCAGAACAGAGCCAGCCTGTTCATGGTGGGATCACAGGAACACAACAGCTGCATGGTCACAAACAGCACAATGGGATTATGAAACAACTAGAGATTCAAATACTATTGAAAGGGATTCAGTATTTAAAAAATCTCACGCATAAAAAAAGAAAACACACAATGTGTCTCCCCACATCTGTGCCACATTCTCCCAGGTTGTTGTACAAAGCAGGTGGGAGATCCCAGTGAGCCAGAGGCACAAAGCACCATTCCATGTTTCCCAGTGGGGCCAGCACAGGCTGCCTGAGCTCTGTGTTAGGCTGTGCACCAAAAACCATGCAAGTACCAAGCACGTTGCTATTGGCTGTCAAAGCTCCATGTCGGGCCACTGAAGGTGCCCTTGGAGCACAGGAGCAGCCCAGGCAGAGCCCACACAGGCAGGGAGGAGCAGGAAAGGAGCTCTGGCAAGGATGGCGCTGCGCTGTGCGGGACCAGCGTGGGCTGCCTGCCCACAGCCCTGCTCAGTCACTCAGCTGCTCACACTGCGCTCGGGAGAGAGCTGGCAGCCAAGGCAGCCCCAGAGCACGCTGAGGAATGGGCATGTTCACATAGCCACACTGATCCCCTGCCCAAACCAGCTCCATGCTCTCCTCTCCTTCCTCTCCCTGCGTCATCGCCATCTCCTCTGCTCAGGGTCTTGCTGAATATAGAATTGAGAGTTATCCCATTTATGGCAAGTCAGAGATACCTCTTGGTTCTTCCAGATGGAAGCCACAAGGCACAGAGAGGGAAAAATGCCTCTCAATTGCAGATTTGGATTTAAACCACATCAACTATGACATTTTTCCTTTGCATTTTTAAAAGAAGGCTGCAGCCAGAGAATAAGTTGGTGACCGAAGGAATTCTGTTTCTAGAGAAATGGCCACTTTAGAGCTATGCCTTTCTAGTGTGTTCTGAAAAAGAGAAAAAGCAAAGCAGATGTAAAAGGTAATTAAGTCATAAGAAGTCACATGCTGAAGAAACAGCAGGATTGCAACACCAGCCCTTCAGTAGGGATATTGCTCCCAGTCCGGTTCCTAAGGGACACATCATCAAACAAGGAAGATGATTTTGTTTAGATTTGGCAAGCTTTTTATTTCTCCACACAAGATCATTGCTTTTTATCTCCTCTAGAACTGGTCAAACTGAGATCACTATAAGATTAACAGGGAAAACTTGTTAAAAGGCAACTTGCAATGCCAGCAGTGCAGCCTCTTTATTTGCAAAGCAGCTCAGCCAGTCATGCTTCAGATGGAAGCAGCACATGCTGATGCTGCCTGAGCAACTCCCTGCCATTCTGACATGCACAAAAAAGAAAATATTTTTAAGAAAATGGGAGGGAAACATAGGAAAAAAAAAAAGTTAAAGACCCAGCCTCCCATAAAAAAAGTAAGGATTCAGTCAATTTCTCTCAAGAGTAATAGAAGTTAAACACATAAATCCCACTTGGGTTAATAGGATAATATATCCCTTGGATTTAAATATTTTACAAACTAAACAGGAACATAGAAGTCTGTGTTACAAAACTAACCAGGTTTTTCAAGTCACCAACTGTATG